TTTTGGATAAAAAATTTTGATAAAGTCCATGCGCCTTTAAGGTCAAAAATCTAAATTTTCGAAATCTAGTCATGATTTGACTCTTGTTGAAGCTCTTTTTACGCTGATTCAGGATAATTTTTAGGTCAAATTTTTATTGTTTTTTGAAGCAGAGACCATACTATTGGAGGCTGTACAGACCACACATCGTATTTACTCTTCTTGTTTCTCGGAGCATCTTTCAAGAGAATTTGACTACAAAACACGCGTTTCTTCATATTTTTTAAAAAGATTTCACCCAATTTTCGTTTTTTGTCATGACGGTCAAATTTTTACTGTTATCTTACAACGAAATAGTTCGTCACCTGGTAATTCCCCCCACGTCACTTTTAAAGGTAGTGTTCAGTTGATCGCATTTAGTGGTGTACTCTGTCTCTCTGACTGTCTAAATCTCTCGACCTTTTTGTTTCTCTGGTCTCTGATTCGATTTAACGACAAAGCGAAACTTGTTTGCATTAGATGACAGAGTGGCACAGGTCTATTTCTCTTGTTTCTGATTTTTTTCCTTTTTTGGATTTTTTTTTTGATTTTTGAAGGTTTTCAAGTTTAATAAAAGCATTTTTCGAAAGAAAAATAGGATTTAGAATAAAAAATGCTTCAAAATGAGTATACATTTGTCTAGCTTAAAGGCGCAAGTCCCTTTTTTCAAAAATTCTTTTTGTGATTTTTTGAACTCTGGGAGACCAAGTTTTTGCGTATTTAAACATGTTTATTTTGTTTTTATGCTCAGGTGCATAAGCAGAGGGGAGGGGTCTCTTTTTCTTTGTTTGGCATATTTGATGGAGGGGAATAGGAGTGTTTCAATGGTCACAGCAAGACACATACGCCTAGGGAGGGAGAGAATTAGAAAGAGAGAGACGGAGGAAAAAGTGCGATAGATAAAATCAAAAAATCATTGGAATTTGAATTTTATTTTTTGGCTTTTTCTTTTGAACTAAACTGTTTTTTTTTCAAATTTTAATTATGAGAAAAACAATTTATAAATGAAGAAATAGGATTTTGCGCTCTAAAATTCCTAACTGAAGATTCAAAAATCTCTAATTTTAACCCCAAAAACTCTTCATTTTCCGCCCGAAACCTATAATTCGACCCCTAAGTTTTAGGACGAAAATTTACCTTAAAGGCGCATGAAATAATTTTTTTGATGCAAATTTTTTCGCAATTTTCAATATTTTCAGCTTTCTCCTTCCTATAAAAAATGACGTGCCTAGTTTGTGGATCCCGTCAGTCTGAACCACACTTCGGCGGGATTTCTTGTCGGTAAGTCTGTTTATCCAGATCAGGGGTGAGATTTTACGTTTACGGATTTTACGAGTTTTTGAGGGACCGTAAAATTTCACGGAGTCCGTAAACTTTTTACTACAGTAATTTCGAAAAATTCCATGATTTTCATGGCGGAAACTGACCAAATACTTGTTGTTTCCCCCTATTTTTGAGAGCAACTTATGGCTGATTAATAAATTTTAATTTCACTCCATTTTTTTTAAATCCGCGCCACATGTGTGTGCAGAAAAAATCTCGAAATTGTTGAAGCTCAGTAGAAAGTTTGGATTCTATTCGGCATTTTTTGATTAATTGGCTTTTTTTTCAATTGGCTGGACGTGATTTTTTTTGATTTGACTCTAAAACACGTTTTTCGGAAAGAATGACGGTTTTCAGCAGTATATACAACGTTTTACGAATTTTACGGTTTTTACGTAATTTTACGGATTTGCAATCCGTAAATTTTACGTTTTACGGATTCCGTAAAAAAATAATTTTACGCTCACCCCTGATCCAGATGTCCGGATGTCCAGCACAGTCTGTCTGTACCACTGTCGAGCCAGACCATGGCTGTGCCAAAAAAAAATTCGAAAAAAATCAAAACAAATTTTTTCGGAAATTTTGGTCCAAAAAAATTCGAAAATTTTTTTTTCGAATTTTTCAAGGCGAAAAAAATTGATAACTGATTTTTCGGAGTTTTCTGTATGTCTGTCTGTCCAGAAATCTGTCAATCTAGCTATCCATGTCCAGATATCCCTGAAAGTTCCAAAGTCCAAAATTTTTTCTTGTTTACCTAAACCTCTTTTTTTCATGAGTCACATGCAATTTTTCAAAAACCTCTCTTTCCAAAAAAGTCCACCTAAAATATCAAGTTTCCAGTGCGTGTGCCGCATTCTTCCGTCGTTTTTATAACTCGAAAAAGTTGGTGATTCAATGCGTGTGCAAGTCGAAATCCCCCAGTGCTCATCCATGTCGAATGTGTCGTGTGGCAAAGTGTTTAGCGATTGGAATGACACCGAAAAGTGAGTTTTAGGCAAAGATTGATAGAAAATTCAGAATCAGTGTGAAAAGTGCTTCAAAATGAGTATAATCTTGACTAGGTTTTGAATTTTTAGATTTTTTTTCCTTAAAGGCGCATAAACCTCGGAACTACCGTATCTCGGTCAATTTTAGTGCAAGCTCAATGATAAATAGTGCATTGGAATCAACTCGTCAAGCCGGTTCGAATGAGTATAATCTTGACTAGGTTGAAAAATTTTGATTTTTACCTTAAAGGCCCATAGGACTAGTAGATTCTAAAATTAATTGCGACATTAAAGGCGCATGCATCTTCAAAATTTTTTTTTCAGGAATTCACGGTTCCCGAGATCCCAATGGAAAATACATCAGATCACCTCAAAGCGAACCCAGTACATCCATTTCTTTGCCAGTGAGTTTTTTTGCCTTAAAGGCGAATGCTCGGTCAATTTTAGGACTTCGCAATTTTCGAAAATAGATTCTGAATCAGCATGAAAAGGGCTTTAAAATGAGTATAATCATGACTAGGTTTGGGACAGTTAGATTTTTTACCTTAAAGGCGCATGGACCTTCAAACTACCGTATCTCGGTCAATTTTTGTCAGAACTCAATGAAAAATAGTGCATTGGAATCAGCTAATCAAACCGGTTCAAATGAGTATAATCATGACTAGGTTTCAAAAGTTTTCGATTTTTACGTTAAAGGCGCATGCCACCGTATCTCGGTCAATTTTCGGTTTTAGCGATTTCTAGAAACAGCATCTGAATCAGGGCGAAAAGCGCTTCAAAATGAGTATAATAATGGCTAGGATTCAAAAATTTCATTTTCCATCTCATAGCATTTTTTGATTTTTACCTCATAGCCAATTTTTCAGTCCTCCCTGTCCCCCCGTGAAGTCTTCACAATAACCTCTTCCCTGTCGAATTTCCTGGACTACGAACAAAAACGATGTGACATATTCCTTCGTCCAAACATGCTGAATCTCTTCGAAGCCTCCTGTCTAACCAAAAAAGACATCGACCTAACTTATCAATTCGTCGGAAGTGCCTTCCCCGAATTCCAGTCCCTTTCCAGCTCCGATAGACAATCTCTAATCCATAATTTTCTGATAAAAATATGGAATATTGAGCCTATTTTGGACCATGTGGCTAACAGGATAGAGTATCAAAAAATGGGGGATGAAGGGATGAGGAACTATGTGACACCGTTGTACCAGGGAAGCTTCCAGAAGGGCGCAGAGATGACTGAGGAGCAGATTTGGAGGTGGGTTTTTTGGGGATATCTTGGTTGTGGGTGGAGCTAGAAAAAAGTTATCAACTACAAAATTGTTTGAAATTAAATTTGGAGCAACTTTGCTGTTAACAACTTTTTGATAGCTTTGACGGGAGCTGAGATATGCGCCTTTAAAGTTGTGGTGCCAAAAAGGAGAAAGACACTCTAACTTCAAAAGCGCATATCTTGGCCCTAATAATGTTATCAAAAAGTAGTCAACTACAAACTTGTTCAAAATTAAATTCTGAGCTAATTTGCTGTTGACAACTTTTTTCTAGCTCTTTTCCTTTTTGAGATATGCGCCTTTAAAGACAGGCACCCGGAAGACGGAGGGGCAGAGAACGAGAGAGCGCGCCTCCCCTCTCTCCGCTGTAAGAGACGCAGGCACTCTAACTTTGAAGCGCTATATCTCAGCTCTCGTTGATGCTAGAAAAAAAGTTGTCAACTACAAAGTTGTGTAAAATTTAATTTTGAGCAAGTTTCTAGTTGACCACTTTTTTATAGCTACGACGACAACGGAGATAGACCGCTTGGAAAAAAATTGGGGGCTACAACTACAGTTTTCAGTCGAAATTCAGCATTTCAATACTAAATTTGTGGTTTTCAGCTAGTTTTTTTTATTTTCAGAACCTTCGGAATCTACTGGAAATATTACTACACAAAAATGATCGACCCAATTGCTGCGGTGGATCTGGATCAGACGGAGTTGTTGGCCATTCTTTTGATAATGTTTTTTGATCAAGGTAAGGGCACAAGACGCAGACGGCTAGACACTCTACCTGTCTGCGTCTCGTCCTCCTTTGGGAAAGGGGGGGGGGGGGAAATCCTTCGATCACTATCAATAAAACATTGTGTTTAATTTTTTTCGGTATGCACATAGAATGTTTGCAGACCTGGATATCCCAGAGGAGTTTCAGCTCGTAGAAAGAACGTTCTTTGGTGGACTTGAGACAGCAGACACATGTGAGAAACTGAAACTGCTGAATCTAGATTTTTGTCGGAAAAGCATGTGCACTGCTTCACACAGCTCACGTGAGTAATATATCATGATTGGATGCGGTCTGTGATGTAACTCAGATACTACTAAGATACAACATTGCTGCTGTACAGGTCTGATTC